CGCTTTCTTGCCACTTTTGAGAGCAGCGTGGGATAAGGTCCCTTCTCTCTCCATTTTCAAACCTTTCTTCCTTCCCTGGCTTCCTTCTCCTTCTATCTCCGTTTTCAAACCTCTCTTTCTGTCCCTGGCTTCCTTCTCCTTCTGTCTCCATTTTCAAACCTTTCTTTCTGTCCCTGGCTTCCTTCTCCTTCTCTCCCCCCTCCCCGTTCTCATCCTCCTCCTCCTCTACCCGGCGTATATTCGCCTTATAAGGCGCACCAACTTCCCCAGCCCCGTTTTGGGGAAGAAAAAGTGCATCTTATATGGCGAAAAATACGGTATAGACACCTGCAAACTATGTACAGCTGTATGTGCGTAGTTCTCCCATTTACAAACTCTCTGTGTGGATGCTGGGAGGTGAGAAAGCTTGCTGTATATGCCATCAGTGTTAGGATTATGTAGAACAGCTTCTTTCATGTAAGGAGTTTCAGTAGTGCCCAAAGAAGGGTATATGGTATGGTGCACAATTTGTGAAGTTTATCTTCTTTAGTTTTGTTAACTGCTTTACCTTCATCTCATGAAATCATCTTCATCTCATGGCAACTCCATGGATAAGACACTGTCATGATGATTGCCTGCCCTCAACTGTTTTGCACAGTTCTTTCATGCTCATGGCTGTAGCCTCCTTGACTAATCTGGTATGTTGTCTACTTCTTTTCTCCTACCCTCTATCTTTCCAAGCATTATTGTTTTTTTTTGAGTACGTCATGCCTTCTCATGATGTGGGCAAAGTATAACAGCTTACAATTAGTCATCTTTGGACCTTTACAGACTGCCAGAAATAATGCAGCTTGAGTCCACTTTAACTGCCCTAGCTCAGTACTAGGGAATCATGCGAACTGTAGTTTTTTCTGAAACATCGAGCCTTCTCTGTCAAGGAGCTCCAGTGCCACAATAAAATACAGTTCCCATGATTCCCTAGCACTGAGCCAGGGCAGTTAAAGTGGACTCAAGCTGCATTATTTCTGGCAGTCTGTAAAGGCCCTTTGTTTCCAGGGAGAGTTCATGTCTGATCTGTTCAATTACCCATTTGTTTATCTGTTTGGCCATATATGAGCTTCTCAGCACTCTTCCCAGCACCACATCTCAAATTAGTTGATTTTCTTTCTGTCAGCTTTTTTCACTGTCCAGCTCTTGCATCCACATATTTTGATGAGAAATAGAATGGTTTGAACAATCCTTGCTAGTGTTATTTGTTATAGCTTTGTTTTTCATTATCTTGTCTAGCTCTTTCATTCCCATTCCCAGTCTTCTTCTGATTTCTTGACTGCAGTCTCTGTTCCGATCAATGATTGATCCAAGATATGGGAAATCTTTAACTATTTCAATTTCTGTGTCTTCTAGATTGAATTTATGTAAGCCATCCATGGTTGTTATTTCTGTTTTCTTAGTGTTCAACATTAACTTTGCCTACGCACTTTCTTCTTTGACTTTCTTTAGTAACTGGTCCACGTCTTTGTTGTTTTCTGCTAGTAGTATGGTGTGTTCTGCATATCATAGATTGTTGATGTTTCTCCTTCAGTCTTCACTCCTCCTTTCTCTGAGTCTAAGCCTTCTAATGGACCATACATGGGCTAATTGCACTATAAAGATATTTATATACCCAAATGCAACTATAATCAGAAAGATCTCATGCATTGCAGGAGAGAAAAGGAGGCAATCTTAAGGAATAAAGCAGGTGCGGTCAAATTATTCTAGAAATTATCCTGGGGCAACATACAACCACTTATACAGCCAGAACCCAAAGTGGAAAAGGAGACCCTCTTATTCTCTCACATATTATACAGCTATCATACATGTATGCGCACAGAGAGACATACATATATATACAGGCTAGTTCCTAAAAGATGCCAAGGTAGATGAACTGATTGCTTTAATTGCCATATTTTCCCATTGTTATTTTGATTAGAATTTTCTGAAGCTTATCATTGTTGTTATAATAATAATAATAATAATAATAATAATAATAATAATAATAATAATAATATTTTATTTATAGCCCATCCCCTGTGCTTGGCAATCGGGGTGGGTTACAACATATTAAAACAACACAGTTAAAAACATTCACTCAACCAACTACCCTCCCCCCCTTAAAACTGGATTAAACTTGAAAGAATTAAA